TAAATCGGTTGTGGGGCACATATTTAGCGAAATGTGTCGTGGTTTATTTCTAAAGTTCATTTATGTATCTTTTAGCTGGACTACCCAAATATGGTAGAAGGCCTTGTTCTCATCAACATCAACTCGTGTGCTGAGGGATGGATGGACTGGGCTGCACACAAGGTAATGCGTGTATATGAGCACCTACAACTGTTCAAACCATTTCCAAAAACTGTGGTAACTTTGACTTTTGGATTTGCAGAACCATTAAAGCTAAACATAGCTTTTTCTGTTTTTTAGATCAGTGGCTGGACTCACGCAGAGCCCGACATGATCATCACCCACCTGTTTGGAAAGGTAAAGATTCAAATTCTCATTATTAAATTAATTAATATCTTCATTACGCTTAAAGTACCTCTGTAAACTGAAACTAGGATTTTAGTTAGATTAATTTGTAGGTCGTGGGTTTAACCCGTCTTTTGTTTTGGGTACCGCAGGAGGAAATTCACCACAACCATGATCTAATTGCCACATACCGCCACCACATCATGAATGACATGAACCTGTTTAACCTGCATCTCTTTGTCAAGTCCTATGAAAGGTAAGCACAGCATCTAGTTTATGTAAATGTTTCATGATATAATCTTGGTGTTTGAGTTCATACACTCTAATGGAAAGTGTGGTGGCTCCTTAGTGTAGTGCTGTACACATTTGAGATACCGATCCCTGTGGAGTTGAGTCAGGGAGGCCATCGGGTGCAAAAATTAGGGAGCAGCCGAAAGTAGCGTGTTCTGCGCACTAACAGATGTGTCTGTCTACAGTCGAAGGGATCTGGAAATTGAGAGGCCAGTCCCTGGAAGCCATGCCAGAACCCTCAAGTAAGTTGTTCTCAAAAACGGCATCAGCTTAAATGAAACAATGTTATTTCTAACACGGAAACATTCACTGTGTGGTTGTGTGTCCTTTATCCAGGTGCCCTTCTCTGCTGGTGGTTGGCGATAGCTCTCCTGCCGTGGAGGCCGTGGTGAGTTCACATGGCTCAAGTGCTAATGATTAGACTTCCCACTGCCGTTAACACGGTTCAACTTGTGCTGGACGTGTTTTCCATTCGCTTCAGTCGTCTGCTTAAGCCCAAGAGATATGCAAGGCTAAGTGCTTAAGGACAACAGTTTAGCATGTCTTAGGCAAGAACCGAATTGGAAACAGAAACGGAGTGATGCAGATCAGCTTTAATCTGTTAAAGTTAAGAGATTTGTGTGACTGCTGCTGCTTTCAGCTGCAAACAGGTCCCAAATCCAAAACGTATTTGTTAGTATATATTATCCATAGGAATAACTGGATTAAGCACACAACATTAAAAACTTGTTGGTCATCACACATCATTTGCCTAATAAATGTTTTGCGTTTGTTCCTGCAGGTTGAGTGCAACACTAAGCTGGACCCCACAAAGGCCACCCTTCTTAAGGTGAGGGCCCCACTCATTCCCTCTGTTGTGGCCTTTACCCCACACCTCCTGTCTCCTATTCTCATCCAGATTATAACCACCTTGATGAAAACTCATCTGCTGATAAGATTCCATTGGCTCAGCATTTACCTGGTGATATATTAACCAGTGCTATGACAGCTGAACATTTCCCCAGAGCTCACTGACCTACTTCGGCTGGCCTGTGGCGAGCTTTTTCTGAACCGCATCTCAAATCAAATGGCTGTTTGACTTAAAGTGGTGCCTTTTACTGGGGTTAACGGTTCTGCGTGTTCAAATTGGACTTAATGAGCGCTGTGGGGGGTTATGGAGTGTGCACGATGCTGCACAAATACACAAGTGACAACATGCAAAATTCTAATTTTGTGTTCTTTTACTCTTCTCCCCAGATGGCCGACTGCGGTGGCATGCCCCAGGTTGACCAGGTTTGTATGTGTGAGAAAGAAAATAGGGAGGGGGAAATGACATGAGAGATATTGATGCTGTAGAGCAGGCTGGACAGGGCTGGATAATCAGCACACGGGGTCAGGTGGAGGGGTGGATGGCGTAGGAGGGTGGCACTTAAGAGCATTAACAAGTACCAGACATGAACCACAGTTGTCAGGTTGTAATCCTCCAAACTGCACAGCACCTGTTCATAACAGCTGTCATATCACAAACCCTGGGAAGTAAGCTGGTGGCTGAGAGCTTGAACCTGTCAATGTTATGCAAACAAATATAATAATTACTGAAAAGAGGACTGATTATCTTTATGTTCTTCTCTGCAGCCTGGCAAGCTGACTGAGGCGTTCAAGTACTTCATTCAGGGCATGGGATACAGTAAGTATCACATACTTTCACTTTGTTTTACTGAGATATGTTCAGATTAAAGTTTCTTCTTCCAACGTGCATGAAAATAAAAACGACACAGAAAAAAATGCCTGCCATCACCGGTGCTTACAGATTTAATTCTGTAAAAGATGTATATTCTGCCACCTTGTGGTGAGAGAAAGATCTCTTAGCCTTCGAGTTCACCTCATCCAGTGTTGAAAATCAAACACTCTGAAAACATTAATGCACTAATTAATTTTGTTAGGCTCCTCATTATGTTGCTGAGACCAGTAATATAATTTCTAGTTTAGAATAGCACATTAAACCTTACGTATTCCAACGCATCAGCACAAACAGCTACCCTAAGAAGGACATGCACAAGATCTGAGCACTCGAGTGTCACATTCTTGTCTCTTTACGTGCCAAAATTAATTATTTATGATGAACTGCACTGAGAATGCCCCCTTTGAGAATTCTTGCAATTGGTCAAATGCGCTCCACAAAGTGAGTTCAAAGCATGTTTGATTATTCAGATACTTTAGGATCTTGTGTAAATCTTGCAGGTGACTCAGTTGTTTGATTTCTGACTGTAATGTGATTAATGAATTTGGGAACAGGAATGCTTGACTGTACCAATGTACACACAAATATAAGATGATTATAATAATGCCCCAACACAGCCTTCGCACCCCTTGTGTTTATGATTGATTAGGGCATGCACTCACTATGATGTAACTAATGCTCAAAGGACAGACCATATGTGCACCCACTGGCAACTTTATTATACACAGCCATTCAGCTGATTTAATAACTAATCAGCCAATCACACGGGAACAGTTCAGTTAATTTGGGCATGTAGACATGCTCAAGACAGCCTGCTGAAGGTCGAATTGAATTTGACAACTTTGCACTACTGCTCTCAAGCATAAAGTATTCGCTGTTTAGTTTAAATGGTGTCCGTGTGAACTTTCATTTGACTGACACGTTTGCATTTGCTGATGACAGTAGAACCAATTTTAATTGTCTGCATCTGTTTGGATGGCTTGCTTTCATTGTAACAACACGTGGCAATTTATATGCTCGCCATACATTTATTACAAAATTCTGCAAATCTTCTTGAAGGTTGTGATGAAAGGTAGTGAGCAATGGGAAAGTGGACGTCAGTAAATTCTTTTCCTCTTCCCTCAGTGCCTGCTGCCAGCATGACCCGCCTTGTTCGCTCCCGCACTGCCTCTGGCTCTAGCGTCACCTCGTTCGACGGCAACCGCTCCCGCTCCCACACCAGCGAGGGAAACCGCTCCCGCTCCCACACCAACGAGGGCAGCCGCAGCCGCAGCCACACGACTGAGAATCCGCACGGCCGCTCCCACACAGACAGCTCCATGGACACCACGGCCAACAACAACGTGGACCAAGGCGTGAGCAAGTCCGCCGAAGTGTCCTGCTAAATAACCCTCCACTCAGCAGACATCCAAACCTCTCAAGGATCCCCTTCAGTCTCTGCTGCGCTACCTCTAATTCACACCTGGCCCATCAACCTGGAATTGTTTAAAAGAGAGGGGGAAAAAAAAAAAAAAAAAACGCACAATACACACTCACCTGCAGATTTCTCAGTGCAGATGAGTTGCCCTAGTTTGGAAATATGTTTGAGTAAGAAGGTTGAGGTCGTGTTTATTGATTGCAAGCAGAAAATGTTTGGGGCCACAGTGTAATTGGAGGCAACGCAGCATTTGGGGACATCGAAGCAGAGAATGTCGGAGAAAGCTGTGGCTAAGAGTACACCAGCTTGTAATATATCCCTCATAATCTCGCATACAAAAAAAAAATAACCTCCCCTTCATCTTTCCCTCCAACCTCATTTTTTTTTGGTCCATTTTTACCCTACTGACGCAGCTTTCTCAAATTTACCCGACTGTAAATGTGTTCTCACTGTAATTGTTCGATCATTTATCCGTTTATTTTTCATGTATGAGTTATTGTTCGTATGTAGGAGCAGACTTGTAGATGTGGAGAGTGAATGGGGAGGCACTACACGTATATCTTTGAAAATTGAAAGGGCAGATTTAAAGTATATCATGCACAGCAAATTGTTTGACCTTGCAAATGTCATTTATTCCCCCCCCCTGTGAATTTTCTTTCCCCCAAAAGATTGTTGAAATAGCAGTTTGCAGGTGAATTTAAAATTAATCTAAATTGTATGCTTTGTCGTCAATCAAAACACTAAAAAACCAATGCTAAAGCTTCAGGATCACATGGTTTATTAATGGATCAAAAACGGTTCTCTCTTAATGATTTTTATGATGATTTCTATGCAATCAATGTGCCATGAAATTGTTCACCTTTGTTAGATTGTGCTGCTCCTGTGTGTGGATTCTTGAGTGAGTGATAAAAGAGAGGTCCACATGTAAACACGAGGATAGCCATAGAACTTACCTGATACTTTCTACTCTTTCTTCTGTATTTTACTTGCACTACAAAAACATTTGGCTCTGTAGAACACGTACATACAGCTTTGTAAATACACAACCTTCTAATGCTGTAGAAAAGCATTAAAATGACATAACCGTTTGTATTTATTAAAAAATGACAAAAAAATGTGTAACAGCTTCCCTGATTTTCCTTATTTCATATGAATATGTAGTCTTGGGGATCTTTGTTCATCTCTTAACACTTATAGGGAGAATTTAATGAAATAGATGAAGAAAAACCTACAACCTCCGTTGATTTGGGAGTTTAAAGGCAGGCAAGCAATGTCCTTGTGAGACGTCGTCCAAAAAACATAGCATGCCAGTATATATGCCAAAAGCCTCATAAATAAATTAAACCTTCAGTATTTCACATGCTTTGTTGAATATTTTCATTTGCAAACAGTTCTTTAAATAGTCTTCAAAAGCACACCATGCTTTATGAATACACATATGTGATATTTACAGATTTTTCCAATAGGAAAAAGAAAACAGAACAAAATCCCTTGTACATGATTGGACTAAAAAAGGAAAGGAAAAAAACTGCATAGGAAATGAAAGTCAGGAAAAAGTTCTAAAGCTCTTTACAGATGGGACAAACCGACAGGTCGCTTCTTAGTTCATAACCTCTGGATAACCGTAATAATTCTCCAGGTCAGCAAAGATGTCATTGGGGCTTCTGCAGCTGAGGTTGCAGAAGCAGGCCTGAACCCACAACATCTTCCAGGTGAATCCCGTCCCGTTGGGACACTCAAACTCCACGTCAATGGTTTTGGATTTGTAGGGGATGCAGCAGCGTTCGTCGGTGCAGACGCCGCAGTATTTGGGCCGGTACGCTTTCTTGCTGGTGCAGCCGGAGATGGTGAGGTTTGTTGGCTGATCTTCCCTGTAGATATTAAGACATTTCTTCCCTGGCTGAGGGAGCAAAGAAACAGGAAGATTTTAAATATAAAAACCATTTCAGTTTGATCAGTTATTGTGCGTGTTTGTGAGACTACTACCTTGATGTGTTTGGTGATGTCGACCTCGCACGGCCGCAGGTTACAGAGACGAGATTCTTTAAACAGCTCGCATCGCTCATTGGCATTGGAGATCCTCATGGACAGGCCGCGGCCGCAGGTCTTTGAGCACGGGCTCCATGAGGTAGTCTGGGTAATGCAGTTTTTGTGCCAGCTCGTGGTCTCGGCTGGGAAAACTAGACAGCAGCATAGACAGAGAGGTGTGCAACTACATTACGTTCAGCGCCATTTCATTGTCAAAGTGCTCCAGGTCGCGACAACTCTACTCCATTTGGCAAACCAAGAGTTAAATATAGACAGTTTCAATTAAAGTTTTAATGAAATTAAAAATTCACAATATTTCAATCAATCGTTTGGTTATTATAGACCAAAAAAAAAGTCAAAACAAGGATTGTTTTTCCAACTGCAGTTAAATTTAGCAGCATGGCTCCCCGGCAGACCCCAGCATAATACAGAGCAGTGATAAAAGATGTAACAGGAGTCAGCTTTACTGGATCAATAAATAAACGGATCAATTAAGGAATTTCAGGAGAACAATTCCACTCAATCAACCAATCACATATCCTCTTGTTTTAAAGTTGTCTTTTAGCAACATGAATATACTTGTTTAACATTCAGATCATTCAGATCCTGCACATGTAATGTCGGAGAGAACACGAGAAGCACAGTATGACTGTCTCCCCTCCTGTCGCATCTGTTTTTAATCCAAACTGTTAAATTGTGTCTGCCTAGAAGTCTGGATCTAATTTGTTTCCTAATGCAACACAAAGAGATCTTCATTCACATTCTTGCCTCCACTGGCTTCCACAGGAAAGGATCGATTTGTCACTCACACGCTTACAACAAACATACTTCACGATGCGTCTGGACTACCAGCTTTACTTGCACAGCTACTTTGTGAGATGCAGTTTCAAACAGAGCAGATTCTGTTACTTCTAAAGACTTATACTGGTGTAAATAACACCACTCAATATCAGAAATATTCACGGTGTACTGTATGTATGTCTACATTTCTGTGCAAACAATACTGTCCAAGAGAGCTCCAATTAGTCATGTAAAATCCTCCCATTTTTAAGAATACTGAGGGCTTCCTAGTAATTTGTTCACTATATTTGTACTTGAAGCATTCCCTTCCATTTAAATGACCTCTCAGCCATCAACTCTGAACATTAGATTTAGGGGTTAAAACATACAATCTTTTTTATCCAAAGCTTCCTACCCTCGACTGCATGTCGCAGCGCTGTCTTGCGCCCTCTCCTGGGCTCGTCACAGATCCACTGCTCGCAGCACTGTCCCCGGACTTTGATTCGTCGTGGGGTCTGGCACCAAACGCGGGGAGGCTGAGACTCTGTGCACAGCCCCACACAGCCAATAGCACCGTTAACACACACGCACTGGTATTTACAGTTGGGCTGGAAACTCTCCCCGTTACGGTAGATCACGCCATTGTGCTCGCAGCCGATTCCCACCATGTCTGGCAGAGAGGGATGACAAGCAGGAATATATTATAAAAGCAGGGCAAACACACAAAAGCTTGGACTTGCGCGTTGCTGCTGAAATGCGTCCGCCATTATTAGGAGGACATTTGTCTTGCAGAGCTTGGAAAATAAAAGCAATCGATAAATGAAACATTTTGCACTTCAGAAATGTTTGAAAACTGTTATATTAGTCTCCATTTTTTATTTTCTTATTCCATCTTCAAACTGTCATCAGATCATGTGTAGGTAGGTTTTAAATGAACCTTCTATTAGAGATGGAAAATCTGTGACACCATAGGTCTGTTTTTACTATTTTTTTAGCAGCAGACATCATTTAGTGGGAGGTAAGTATTTCATTTCTCCACAGCTTATTCCAAAAAATAAAGTCCTTAAAAGTGAGCACAACAAGCAGCGAATGAACAAAAGAGAATAATTAAAAAAGGGGAAAAAATGGTGTGAGTGAAACTAAAATGATAAATGGTATGAAAATAACAACACATAGACGTATTAAAATACAAAAAACATGTAATGCAATAATTACATTAGAAGCTAGTGCTGTGCAATATCTGGGATAGATTTGATCTCGACATCAGGCAACGATTAAGTCTGCACAGTCTGCAAGGATGTAGAACAAAGGCAAAATAATAAAATGAAAACATGAATAACACAAAAAGTTATTTGCATGTTGGAGACTTGGATATAAAACTTGCAGATATGTCCCTAGACTGAGGTCAGTAATTCTCTTCCATGTGTGCTCTGTGCTCTTTGTTGAATAATGTGCACATGCTGCCTGTGCCATGAAACCAAACCAAAAATAGCTTTTTCTAATATTCTCTACTCAAGTCTGTGCTGTGCTGCAGTTTGTGTGCAGTTTGGACAATGAACGTGACTTGCAACATTACAAAAATGAACTTTTGATGCGGTGTACAGCGGTAGTTTGTTTTGGTGAGTGACACTTACATGCACACACTCCTTTTTCGTACCTAGGCTTGTCTGAGCTGTAGTCGCAGTACAGTCCCTTGTGGTAGTCACACATGTCTGCCTCGTTGCACACCTCGCCCACCTGCCGGGCGCAGGTCTTGCAGCAGTCGCAGCCATCCATGAGGAGGCTTACACCTGGCGGGCACTTAGGGGGGGTCTCTGGACACTCGCAGGGCCACTTGCAGTACTGTGTGCGGTTGTACAGGTCTACAAATGGGGATGTGACAGCTGTGGCAGGCCGCATGGTGGTGGAATTCAGGGAGTAGGCCTGCAGAGAAGAAAGGGGAAAGAAAATGAGATTCCCAGTTCATATACTCTATATTTTATTAATCTAATATGTCCAATAGCTTTCACATCATGCGTACAGCTTATGTCACATCATCAAGCCTGAGCCTTTGTTACAGTGATTGCACAAAATAAGTCATCTGCAGCTACTCTTTCAACCTGTTTGTCCGGAATTTTTTTTATTGCACAAAAGGTATTTGACCCCTTGTGTGGAGGCAATATTTTTAATGCCCTTAATCATGATTTTTTTTTTCATCTAGCCCTCTTTGGTAACCATGTCTCAGCAAGTAATGGACTTGAAAGGTTTAAAATCCCTTACTTGTACACTTCTGCTTCAGTGCTAACATGTGTTCGTGCTGTGCAATAAATTAAATAAGACTATAAAAATGAATGAAACACCCAGTGGAGATAATCTTATTAAATCACCATCGCGCCCTGGTGTCTTATGTATTAACACTGGTTTCCGTCGCCATATTTCAAACAAGAACTGTGCTGCTTACAGTTATAAAAATCCTGCCAATGAAATGAATTTCATCTCCCTTGGCATTATGACTCTTACAATCTGCTCTGTGTAGCCAAGATCACACAGTAAAGAGCTTTGCAGCTCTTAAAAGCAGATGTTCTCACAGCAACGCTGCACATAAGGCACATTAACAGCCCAGAGCTTAGAGGTTAGCTTTGGACAGAGAATGCATGAGCCTCAGCTGATGAAAGTTTGGGAATGTGAATGTTTTTTGTTGTTGTTTTTTGTAAAAAATAATAAATGGTTGAGTCTGAACTGAATTCTTTTTGTTTTGAGAGCATGGTGTGCTTGAGAAAGGAGCAGGAAATGATCTCCAGGTTGTTACTTCGTGTGACAGAAACCGAAACTTCCCTCTCAGGGAAAGTGAAGTCATGTTGCATTTATGATGCAAATCGAGCAAAACTTCAAACGCAGATGAGTCAGTTTTGTAGCAATAATAAACCACAAAGGCTCTTTATGAATAAGACTTCAGCTGAAGCAGATACCGTGTCCATCCTAATTACAAGTACAGTATGTGGTCGGGGCTGGGCGAGAAGTGAAACATATCAAATTAGCTCCAGTATTGTCTCTACAGCCATAAATACTTATAGCAGAGCTCTTAAATGGGGAGCTTGAAAGATACACGTGCGTGCACACTCTGTCCGCGGTTAACTGTGCGAAAAGATGCTTAATCATCTTAAGCACGGTGGATCCGTTTTCCTCGGCTTGTTCTCAGCACTTCAGTAGAATTATGGTCATATTAAAGATAATGCAGATGAACGACTTTTAGTCACAGTCGTGCCACAAAGCTGTTTTATCAAAAGACTTAATTTATTCTGCAGCCATGAGGCTAATTTGCAAAGTGGCATACATATTGTTCCCGCTAAGGAAATCATCACCCTGACACAGAAAAAGGAGATCATAGAAATCAAGATGTGAGTGCTTCATAAATTAATTATAAAAGCTGGGCTGGGATTGATACAAACATCTTATTGAAATCATTTATCTCTGACGAACACATTTTGCATGTAGGACATTTAACAATACCAAGACAGAGAGATTATTTAGTGAGCTATTTGTGGTTATCATCATCATCTTTCCCCCCCCTTTTTGAATGCTTTCTAACGTGACCTCAAATACTTGTCATATTTTTGTGGCAGCTGGTTACAAAGAGATTACAAGTGCTGATGACCCTGGCTCCACTCCTGGTTTAATCTCTTCTTCCTGTCAGCCTGCAGTCAGGTCAGATGACCCGCGGGGAGGTGTTGGCTTGATTTACCCTTCCTCAGAGCAGAGGAGAAAGGACTTTTCCCAGGGGAAACTATCACTCAGGCGTTGTTGTTATTTCCCTCCAAACCACATGAGTTTATTATGCAATAATGAGAATATATTTAATACTGACTATTCACAACCACACTGTTTAGGGGTATATTTGACACTGATGCTGAATAACCCAAATCTTACAAAAACTAAGAATATCGCCGTGTTTAACGTGTTTAACACAAAATATCATTAATTTAAACACTCAGTTTCTGAGGTTAGACCACAAACTGGTGTCTTTATGAGTAGAAAGGCTCTGAGGAGGCAGTGGGATACAAGAAAGCACATGAGTACCCCCAAATATCCACCAGGTGGCACTACAATATATCCGAACGAGCCTAGACACAACTCTGAGCATCCCACAGTGCAAAATTAAAGCCAGATAATGGATAATAATAAATAAAGGATAATAGGATAATAAAGGACAACAATCAGTTTTTAAGCAGATTTTAATGGAAATATTTATTCAGCCAAAGGTTAAAAAAAACTATTTTTTTCTCTCTTTTTTTTCTTTCTTTTTTTTTTTTTGCCACAACCTGACGAATAAATGGGGGGGGGCTAAAACGGAGAAAACACTGATTTCGTTTATTACGTTTAAATGACCTTGTCTTATAGTGTCTTTTTTAGAATCTCAGTCTACCTTACTAACTTTAAAATAAACCCCTATGTCTTCTGCAACTTGCATTAAACGTCTGAGTTACATGCAACCTGGACGTTAAAAGAAAGAAAGAAAAACAAAAGACAAAAAGGTACTTTGGGAAATCTGTCCTCCATCCCACCTGTTGAATCCCGGCTGCTGTTACAATCCACAACAGGAGCCAACTCATCACTGGTGAGGAACTGCACACGCATTGAATCCAGAATTAGTTCCGTCTCTCAAACGCGCCACACGCCGCTCTCCTCAGGTGTGCTACATCCTCGTCCCCTCGCTGACATCTCGGCGCCCTTCGGTTTGCGCTGACAGCCTGTTAATAAGAGTCCGGACCCGCATAGCCTGCCCTCAGGTTTCCTCTCTTCCCCTCAGCTCCACTTTCACCCGAACCTCCTCTTCTCCAGAGCGCTGGCAGCTGTGGTGGTTAGGGCGTGTCTGGAATAGTCTCTGGAAGGACTCTGACACTCCTGTTACTGCTGCTTAATTTAAAGGCTCCAGATATTTCCAAGTCAGTCTGAAAAGCAGTGCGCGTATGCTTACGTAGGCTACAGAATCATTGCCCTCTACTCCACAAGTCATAATAAGTTCCTTTGAGGATTTCAGTGTAGTTAATGGGTCATTCTGCACATGCAAAATAGAGATTCAAGTTACTGTCTTTGTTGCATGTGAGTCTCCTATTAAGATAGGCCTCACATACACAGACATTACAAATACAATCATGTAGTTTACACTGAGGCCTGGACTTTGTGTAATGCTCCCGATTTGGCTTCCTCTGAACTTATTTACTTCAGCAAACATATTTGGAATTATTTATCATGCGCCTGTCATTGCATGAGAGCATTTTCTTTTAACACCACTGTAACTACAGCAGGTCGCCAACCTCTCGCCCATTGTGTCTATTTTAAGGCTCCGACTGTGCCTGGCCTCCAGATGTTTAGTTTAAATCAAATGATGTCATCTATCTCACAGTCTGCTACTTTGCTTTCCTTTCATTTTTCTGGAAATTTGAATGTGTCACATTGAGGAGATGCAGGTGAGCACCAAATGCGCCATATGGAAACTCTCTTGTATTTGAGTAATGCTGCACCTTTTACCACAGCACCTTTTGCTTTTAGTCTGCTGAGTCTCACCCAGAATAACCAAACGTCTGTGAGAATTCGACCCCACAGGCAACAGAGAGAAGGAAAGAGTGATGGATGAGAAATGAACACTTTGTCAAAGAGCAAAGTGCCCCAGGTCTGAACCCCTATTATTTACAGGCAGTCGTCTAATCCCTGTCAGAGAGCTGTCAGCTTCTGGGCTGATCTGAGCAGGCTTTCCTCTTTGCCCTGACCAGGATGACCCGCCCCATCCACAGCACAATGCTCTCTGTCTCTCTCTTGTTTCCTTACTCTAAAACTCAGCCTCTCTTTACTTTCCATCTCTGCTGGTCTCCCCACCTTCTCATCCTTACTCCTGCTGAAGCAGGGCTGAAGCCCGTTAACCTCCAACCTCCAATTTCAGTTGCTATCAAAGGTTTTTTCCCCACCATCTAAGATTGTGTATCTTTTCATTTCTTTCGTTTCCTAAGACATTACTTTTGTCTTTTTTTCCTCTTTGAAAGCTGTGAGGTAAAATCTTTCATGAGTAATGATGGGGGAATTCAACACTGTGAGAAACTAGTGCTGACATTAGTCAATTAAAGTAGACACTGTGTGGGTTCATGGTCACTTTTAGGAACCATTTTCAGCGAACGCAGCTTTTGCTCCATCCATAAAGGTCAGCTAAAAATGTACCAGAAAAAGAAAGAAAATTACATATATAAACCACACCTGCATATAAAACACAGACAGAGCCATGCTGAGGTTTTCCACTAGGTTTAGATTCTGCATTTTAAAGTCAGGCTTTTATCAGTGATTTCTATCAGTGAACTATAGCAAAGCTACTGAGGCTACAGTCATGTGAGGAAAGAACGTGCACCCTATTTCAATTACATGGTTAATAATACAAAATATTCATCTGGTCCCTCTCAGGTTTCGAAATTATTTAAATACAAACTTTATTATATATTATGTTATTTATTGAACAAAAAAGACGATGAAGAAGCAGTGTGTGACAAAGTGTGTGGCATGATTCAGGACCTCGTAGAACCACTTTTCTCAGCAATAAGTTAAAGTAATCATTTCCAGTGTGACTTCGACAGTCTCTCACATCATTGAGAAATAATTTTGGTCAGTTGTTCTTTACAACGTTGCTTCAGTTTTTGAGGTTTGTGGGCATTTGTTTATGCGCAGCTCTGTCAAGGTCTCGCATCAGCGTTTGAGCAATTTGGTTGAGGTCTGCACTATGACAGGGTCATTGCAACACTTTGATTCTTTACTTTTTCAGTTCATGGTTGATTCAGTGACAGCAAGGTGCCCGAATTATCACCCGTCCACCACCGTGCTTCACCGTTTATGTCTTGATCTTTGTACTGATGTTCTGTGTTTGTCTTTTGCTTAATGCAGCACTGTGCATTATGACCAAACACTTGGTCTCCACTTTGGTCTGGTCTGTCCAAAGGACGTTGCTCCAGAAGTGTTGTGGTTTGCTCAGATGTAGTTTTGCAAACTTAAGCTCTGCTGCCAGGTTCTTTTAAGAGAGAAGATGCTTTCTTCTGCGAACACTTGCAAGCAAGCAAAACTTGTTCAGGCGTTTTCTAATCGTACTGTGATGAAGTTTAACATTAAACATGTAGATTTTAGGTGTGTTGGAGCTTCTCTTAGCGTGACACGCTCTGACCTTGAGATGAATTTGCTGGGACGACTGGCAGCTGTCAGTATTTTCTAGTTATGAATAGTCTTTCTCACTGTATAATGACAGTGTAAAATTTCATGTGTTATTCTAGGACACAAGTTCTTAATGTCCTAATAAGGAAAACCTTAGATCTGAAAGGGCTTCTTTCACTTTCACATGACTTTATCTCAACAGACGCTGTGCTAGTGGCAGAGTGTTTCCTGGATAGGGTTAGAAGTAAGGCGCTACAGGAGCCTCCGGACTAAGACCACCAGGTACCAGAACAGCTTCTTCCCCACAGCTGTCAGACTCCTGAACTCTGCCTCCTGACATCTGACCCACGTTAACACATGGACTGAACATACACACACCCACAACCACCTACACACACAATGGACAAAACAAACAAATGGACAACTGTACCCTCAAACACACAATAATAACATGGAC